ACAATTTAATAATGAGAGTTTTCACCTCGGGGATGATCACTCAACTACACTAGGCTTTGGCGAGAGAAGATTTTGCAACGCTTGGAATCGAGATCACCACTAGGAAGACGATGTCGAGGTCTTTGTCCACAGAAAAGAGCCGGAGTGTGGAGTGGCGGATGTTCCAACGATGATCCAACGGCTTGGTGGATGATGCTCTTCGATCGACAACGCAAGTTGATACCGGATGCGGTAGATGTGCCCGTCCACGGTCTCGTCGTGTCCAAGTTGTACGTCAAGAACGGGGATGCCAGAAATGTTCGTTCCGTCCTCATTCGTCGAAGAAGGAATTGATCAAAATTTGAAATTAATTTCAGATTTTGGTTAGTTTTGGAGGAATTGTTTGAATTAAATTTCAAATCAATCGTAATTAAGGCCTTAAATGGGGAGTAATAGAGGGGCACAATAAGGGGGCCGGCGGCTTGTAGAGGGAGGGAAAGGGAGGTTATGAAATTTGAAATCCAAATCTATCGCAATTAATACATATTGAATTAGCATTGATTGGCTTCCCCCATGCATGGGCCGGCGGCATTCAAGGAGAGGGAGGAATTGTGGAGGTGATTTAATTAATTGGATCCTTGATTGGATTCCAATATGAGATTGAGGAGAAGAGAGGTGGCCGGCCCTATAGGGAGGAATTTGAGGAGATTTAATTACTTGGATTGTGGGCCCAAGTAATTAAATAAATTAGAATAGGAAATCTGAAATTAAAATTCAGATTTGTGGAGGCTTTAATGGTTGCATAATTAGTGTAGGAAATTTAGGAGAGAATTTAATCCAAACCAATTTGAATTTGAATTTTGAACTCCCTCCAAATTTGTCACCTAAATTAGGAAAGAATCAATGAAATTAAGAGGGGGGGGGGATTAATGGTTGGTGGTTATAGTGGCTCGGCCGGCGTGTATGGGATGGAGTGAGGTAGTGTTGCGCGTGCGTGTGGGCTAGGGAGGGGCCAAGGGCGGCGGAGGAAGCTGGGTGGCGGCGGTGAGAGCAGGGAGCCAGCGGGATGTAGGGGAGGGAGAGGGTTTGAATGTAGAGGTTACATGCAAGGGGAAGGGGTCGGGTGGCTGACCGGCAAGTGGTGGAGTGGTGGGGAAGATCCGACGGCTAGGGAGAGGAAAGAAGAAGAAAATAGGTAGAAAAACCAAGAGCTCACCAAGGGGCTGTTGGGTATTGCTTTGAGCTCTCCTAGCTAACTCCACGCTCGAGAACTCACAAAGATAACTCTAGAACTCACAAAGAGATCCAAAACCCAAGTTGAAAATTTCATATCAATATTCATCATCTCATATTAACAATAGCAAAGGACCTATATATAAGTCTCAACATAAGAAAGCAAAGACCAATTCCTCGTGGGCTACATCAGACTCAACTATAATAGTACAATAGGGATACATAAAGAACTCAAAAATGCTATATATAAATAAAATAAAACTGCTTGAATCTGGTCGTTAATCTGCGTTCTCCGGCGATACATATGCTTGAACCTCTGATCGATGTCCTCATCAGTTTGTTGCCCATAGAGCAACTTTGTCTTTTGAGTTTTCTTATGTTTGTGCCTATATATAGGCCTTAATCTATTGTAATAGACGATGATTGATATATAAAAAGAAAAATTCTGGTTTTCTTCTTTGTGTGTTGTTTGTGAGTTTTCCACCATTCCTTAGTGGGTTGGATGAAGGTTCCTTTGGAGTGAGGCCACGTAACACCCAACAGCCGACGAGCTCTTGGTTCTATCCTTTCAATTTTCTTACTGTTTTCTTTTATTTCTCTTTGCTGCCATTTTTCTCTCTTGTTGTCACTTTTTTTTTTCTTTCAATCAAAACAGTCCACTTTCACTAGCCGCCCCCCTCCAAACCCCTTCCAACAACAGGCCCGTCCCCACCACCCAGCAAATGACCTATCCCACCTCCCTTAACCACAGACAACTCCAAATCATCCCAATCTAGCTACCACCGAGAGCCCTACCTCCACCACAAAATCAGCTGCCCAACTCGCAAGCCTTCAAAATGACTTTTCATATTCCTTTGACCCTGCACATTCTACCAAACATTAATTAGACTTTCAAATTCTGAAATCTAATTAATTTTGGTGTGTTTTCCCAAGCCACCTCACCCCTCCCAAAATCAGCCATTAATTCTCCCTCCACTTTCCCAAACCTTTTGATTACGACATCCACTCCAATGTCATTTAATGAGCTATCTCATTAACTATTATTCCCTTTATCAAAGCTCCAATTAATTCTCAACTTTCCAAAGCCTCCTCATTAATCCAAACATTAATTCTATCTCTTTCCCTAGTTCCCGCTTAAATATTATTAAGTAAGGCAGTCATAACTTCTCCCATTACTCATACACCCTTTCCTATGTGCTGCCATTAAGTGTTGGGTTGCTATCTTATGATGTTGGTTTGTTCCATAACACCCTCCCAAATGTGCCCTTGCTACTATCCGTGGGTTGTCCTGCATCATCTGGTATCAAAGCATGGCTAGCATGCGCTACATGTGCTAGAAGTTATCCTAGGAGCTTACCTAACCATTCTTATGTATTTTTGCATTGCATATCATCATTTAACCTAGTTAAGTTACCGTTATGCTTGTTGTCCACATCATTCATGCACACATCTAGTGAATGTTTGTGGGCTCGCGAAAATTCAGCCTCGGCCTCCACTCGCTTTTCTTATTCGGCGAGGGAGTTTTAACGAACTAAGTTCCGGGATAAATTTTGGAAGGCAGATGGGTTTGTAGATAAGACACTACCCAGAGATTTCGCCCTCATTTGGTGAGGACTTATGATCTGAGTTCTGGTTTCCTATAGGCGCAAGCCCCTATAGTTAATATTACCCTCCGATCACGAGAGAGAACTTCGATTTAAAGGCTAGTCGTCAATCAGATATGTATAGAAATTACATGTATCTGACATATAGTAGCAGCAAAAGGGCATTGGATGTTGGAAATTTGGAAATTTTACCGGTTTGGATGTTTGGGATTTGAAGGTTTGATATTTAAAACTTGAAATTGCACCATCCTCACACTTAAAGCTGATGTGGGGAATGGATGATGGGCCCGATCAAGATCCCATGGTTCCGTCGTCCCGGGCCATCGTGGTCCCTAGTCTACTTAGTCAGAGGAGGAAGTCGACCCAACCTGACAGAAGGATCCTTGTCGGCAGCCAGGGTTGCTTCGTCCAAGGGGACCTTTATACACGGGTTGAATGTTTTGTCTAAGGGGACAAATTTGAATCCACCTTAGCTGACAGAGGGCTTTGTGCCTATCGATCATATCCTATTGATTCATATCTCAAGGATTTAACGCCAATAAGGATCGTATTGGCTCTGGCCATAACCGCTATCTGTGGCCATTTGCGGGCAAAACCATCGGTTCAGAGGGCCCCGGGTCATAACCGTTTACCTGCAGTGCCATTTAGCGGCAAAAACTGCCGGTTAGAGGACACGTACCACGTCCTTACTGGCAAGAGATTGTTTGAGAATGAATCCTAGTGATATTTTCGACTAGGCATTTGGCTCTTTGTGAGCTAGAGTTTTATTTGAATTTGTCCAATCGGCAGACTGTTGCGGAGAGTGGATGGGCTTTGCTTTAAGTGTTGGGATGAATAGTTTCATTTTAAATATTTTTGGATTTTGGGGAGTTTTTGGTTTTTCTTTGGATTTTGGATATTTTGGAACGGCATTGGAAATTGTTGGGGAACCCCTCCGGTTAAAATCTTTCATTCAACACGGCCATCATCGGTGTTCGGGGTCATTTCTCTTATGGATTGAACCCTGTCAACTCTGTCGGGTTGTCGACAGAGGATCGGGTTTCGTAGACTTTATGCCCTTTGATAGTAAATTCTCATTGTTATAAGCCTTGAAGGCCTAATATGAATGTATTAAGAATATAACGGTCACCACAATTCATATATTTGTTTGTTGGTTCGAACCCTATCGACTTCTATTGATCGTATAGAAGGATCGGGGTTCGAACTTGAATTTCACTTGTCAACCGCCGCCAGCATCCCTAGACGTCACATGTGTACCAATAACACGCTCGCGGGGCTCATGCGGGTTTATAATTATTTTACCCCTTTAGTGTACCTATGTGTATACAATTTATAGTGCACTGTGCAGGGTACTTTGAAAAATTGTAGATGTCTGTCCGTCTGCTAGTACGAATGTTGCAGATCCGGTGGCATGATGTAGCAGCTTCTAGATAGAATTGTTCGCTGCTTCGTACAAGGTAGACTGTCGTGCACTACTCGTTGCTTTCTGCAGGTGGATCGTAGTGCACTAACTGATCTCCTGCTTGGTGTTTTGTTGATGCTTATTATTCATTGTAGTTCTTTGACATTTGCTTATTAGATAATGTTCTATGTGACTAAACGAATTTCCCAGAATGACTCGTATGAGCTTGCATTTGTTGTAGTCTTTGGCTCATTGTAGTACATCCGTCATTGTTATGGTGAGACAGGTAGATGTATCCTTCTACAGACTGAAATTGAGCTCAGGGATACTACATTTCTACTGAAGTCTTTCATGCATCTACTTCTGGGTGGATGTTGACATTACATTCGTATTCATAGATGATTTGGTAGTGATGTTGCAAGATCTTTCTATAGTGGCATTGAAGAATTCGTATTGTTTGCTTGTGAGTGAACCGACATTTCACTTCTATTCGGGATTTAATGAATGACTCTCATTTCATTCATTGACCTGCTTATTTGCAAGGGGATTACATGTCTTCTACGACAACCTCGCAGAAGTATTTGTTTAGGAAGACTGTCCAATGCTTCTGCATCGGAATCCACCTTTCACCAATCTCGGGTGGTTTACGATTGATTTTGTATAGACAGATCTATATTTGATCGGGCTTTTAAAGATGCCGTAGGAAAGTCATTTGCACGCAGTACCATATCGGCGATGTACTTGCTTGCAAAGACGGATCTTCTACTATCAAGTAGTATGCTGTCTTCTCAATCTACAGGCATATTGCTAGCATTGGAGGTTTCAATGATGTATTTGGGAGACATTACACATTAAACAACCATTCGTTGTCCTTGTGAGTACATTGCATTTAACTTATAGGAGCTATTGTAAGAGTCATATGTAACACCTGGAGATGATTGGTGTTGCTTATGCTGATAGTTCTATGATATCTACAAACATTTAAGTCGCTCTCGTAGTTTGACATATGTATTAATTTAAATTGGGTTCTATCAAGTTCCCAGCACAATATTGGCAAGCTCAAGGTTCTATGTCCCTTGTAGTCTGAATCTTCAAAGTTCAGTAACATGTCGAGCTGCTTGTTCAGAGCCTTCTGAAAATCTTGCACATTGTTAATTTCATATATGACTTGATTTGGGTTTCAAACTTTGATTGAATTTGATCTTTTATACTTCATTTGAGTTGTTGTTCTGATTCACAAGTCCCACAGTCATTGAGTCACATCTTTTGTTCTTTGAGTTCACAGGTCCAGGTTTACGATTTCACCAAAAATTTCGGCACGCCTCCCGGCGTCTCCCCCTTTAGGAACGAAACTTACGAGAAAACTGGGTCTTTCCCACGCTACGCGTCAATAAAGGCGGTGTATGGTAGCGTTCCTCTGACGGACACACCGCGGCGTTGATTTTTTGTTCCTCCACCACGCGAATAAACGGGTGTATGGTGCTTTGGCGGTACCTGTTAAATGACACAATTGTTTTTCCCCCCGCTCGGGGGTACTTATAAGTGAACCCCGCCTCGCCGTAAGGTGCCGCACCGGGGTCCCTTCCCACGCTCTACGCGCAATAGGCGTTGTATAAGGCGGTTTTTCCGGTGCGCCACGAACCTGAGTAAGTTTTAGGCGATTGCTCGCGTTCGTCGTAAGCTATCAGGACCGGCGTCTCGATCCTACCACGCGCAATAAGGCGTGCTATATGGAGTTTTTTTCGGTCTGCTGCAAACACGATGGCTGAGGATCTGAGTTAGAGAGTTCGTACCTTCGCGGGCTTTCGATGTGGCGGTTTAAAGATGCACAAGTTTGCTTTCCCCCGCTCAGACGGTACTTATAGTGACCCGCCTCGCCGTAGGTGCCCGCGACCGGGGTCCCTTCGCTTGAGACCTCGTTCCTTACCTGTTCCTTCTCAGATTTGGATGTTTCCTCTACAGCGATCGTCGCAGGACGATTGGAAATAGTCCGAGCGCCGAATTGGCACTGTAGAAAATATTGGCCTGAGAATAAGTTCTGGAATACGTTCCGGGGACGATTTATGTCTGGTCTGTTCGTCCCGGGACGATTTGGCGAATCGGCGACCGATAAGCACTGATTTGCAATAAGAAAGCACTCGTTTGATCGAGAGAGAAAATATTTTAATATTAAGAACTATCAAATGTTTTAAGAGAGAGAAAAGAGACAAGTGAAGAAAGAGGAAAAGCTGGGTTTTTGGAGGCGTGAGCGCTTTTCGTCCCGACGCTTGCTGTTGAGAGAAGTGAAGATCTCGTGTTTAGGATCTCCGAATCTCTTATTTTGTTTTCAAATAGATATGAGTTTTTGACCGAGCTTGTGATTTGTTTTGTGTTTTCGTAATCGACTTTTTCGACGTGATTTTCTTATTGACACCAACTTTCACTGGCACAACTTTTATATGTTACGTTATAGATTGATTTTATTGTACGAGAATTTGACTGTATTCTACTGAAGATTTTACCGGTCGGAATTGATTTCCTACGCGATTGTAATCGAATAGAAAATTATCAGGACCTTGAATTGATTTGATTTCTATAGGGCAATAGTTTGTATGGATGTTATAGATATTCTAAACTTAATTAGGAAAGATTTGGAAATTGTGCCTTTTGTGGCACGGATTTTTTGTGTAAAGTCGACTGAACTGCCGTTACGCTGCCCGTTATTTTCGTGATGTTCGCGATTTGTTTGGAATTGATAGATTTAGATTGATGTTGCTTCATGAGTATTGATAGATATGTTATAGATTGCATAAATATTAGTTATTGAACTATTATTGATACTGGGAAACACGTATAGCCTGGACTGAACCATTGGTTGGAGGTTGATATTGACCCTGGGTACATAGCGAGGTGGATGGGGGGGGGGATTAATGGTTGGTGGTATGTGGCCGGCGGTATGGGGATGAGGAGGTGTTGCGGTGGTGGGGCTAGGGAGGTGGCCAAGGGGCGGCGGGAGAAGCTGGGGTGGGCGGCGGTGAGAGCAGGGAGCCGGCGGGATGTAGGGGAGGGAGAGGGTTTAAATGTAGAGGTTACAGGCAAGGGGAAGGGGTCGGGTGGCTGACCTGCCAAGTGGTGGAGTGGTGGGGAAAGATCCGGCGGCTAGGGGAGAGAAAAAGAAGAAGAAAATAGGTAGAAAACCAAGAGCTCCACCAAGGGGCTGTTGGGTATTGCTTTGAGCCTCTCCTAGGCTACTCCACGCTCGAGAACTCACAAAGATAACTCTAGAACTCACAAAGAGATCCAAAACCCAAGTTGAAAATTTTCATATCAATATTCATCATCTCATATTACAATAGCAAGGACCTATATATAGGTCTCAACATAAAGAAGATGCAAAGACCAAATTACCCTCGTGGCTACATCATGACTCAACTTATAATAGGGGGTACAATAGGGATACATAAAGAAACTCAAAAATGCATAAATAAATAAAAAATGTAAACTCTGAATCGTGGTCGTTAATCTGCGATTCTTCCGGCGATACATATGCTTGAACCTCTGATCGATGTCCTCATCAGTTGTTGCCCATAGAGCAACTTTGTCTTTTGAGTTTTCTTATGTTGTGGCCTATATATAGGCCTTAATCTATTGTAATAGACGATGATTGATATATAAAAAGAAAAATTCTGGTTTTCTTGCTCTTTGTGTGTTGTTTGTGAGTTTTCCACCATTCCTTAGTGGGTTGGATGAAGGTTCCTTTGGAGATGAAGGCCACGTAACACCCCAACAGCCGACGAGCTCTTGGGTTCTATCCTTTCAATTTTCTTACTGTTTTCTTATTTCTCTTTGCTGCCATTTTTCTCTCCTTGTTGTCACTTTTTTTTTTCTTTCAATCAAAACAGTCCACTTTCACTAGCCGCCCCCCTCCAAACCCCTTCCAACAACAGCCCGTCCCCACCACCCAGCAAATGACCTATCCCACCTCCCTTAACCAACGACAACTCCAAATCATCCCAATCTAGCTACCACCGAGAGCCCTACCTCCACCACAAAATCAGCTGCCCAACTCGCAAGCCTTCAAAATGACTTTTCATATCCTTTGACCCTGCACATTCTACCAAACATTAATTAGACTTTCAAATTCTGAAATCTAATTAATTTTGGTGTTTTCCCAAGCCACCTCACCCCTCCCAAAATCAGCCATTAATTCTCCCTCCACTTTCCCAAACCTTTTGATTACGACATCCACTTCCAATGTCATTTAATGAGCTATCTCATTAACTATTATTCCCTTTATCAAAGCTCCAATTAATTTCTCAACTTTCCAAAGCCTCCTCATTAATCCAAACCATTAATTCTATCTCATTTCCCTAGTCCCGCTTAAATATTATTAAGTGCAGTCATAACTTCTCCCATTACTCATACACCCTTTCCTATGTGCTGCCATTAAGTGTTGGGTTGCTATCTTATGATGTTGGTTTGTTCCATAACACCCTCCCAAATGTGCCCTTGCTACTATCCGTGGGTTTGTCCTGCATCATCTGGTATCAAAGCATGGCTAGCATGCGCTACATGTGCTAGAAGTTATCCTAGGAGCTTACCTAACCATTCTTATGTATTGTTGCATTGCATATCATCATTTAACCTAGTTAAGTTACCGTTATGCTTGTTGTCCACATCATTCATGCACACATCTAGTGAATGTTTGTGGGCTCCGAAAATTCAGCCTCGGCCTCCACTCGCTTTTCTTATTCGGCGAGGGAGTTTTAACGAACTAAGTTCCGGGATAAATTTTGGAAGGCAGATGGGTTTGTAGATAAGACACTACCCAGAGATTTCGCCCTCATTTGGTGAGGACTTTATGATCTGAGTTCTGGTTTCCTATAGGCGCAAGCCCCTATAGTTAATTACCCCTCCCGATCACGAGAGAGAACTTTCGATTAAGGCTAGTCGTCAATCAGATATGTATAGAAATACATGTATCTGGCATATAGTAGCAGCAAAGAGTATTGATATTGGTAGAAATTGGATTTGGAAATTAGGTTTTGATTTTTGGTATTTAAAATAGAAATTGCACCATCTAGCACTTAAAGCGGATGGTGGGGGAATGGATGATGGACCCGATCAAGATCCCATGGTTCCGTCATCCCGGGCCATCGTGGTCCCTGGTCTACTTAGTCAGAGGAGGGAGTCGACCCAACCTGACAGAAGGATCCTTGTCGGCAGCCATGGGTTGCTTCGTCCAAGGGAACCTTGTAGACCGGGGGTGAGTGTTTGTCTAAGGGGACAAATTTGAATCCACCTTAGCTAACAGAGGGCTTTGTGCCCTATCAATCATACCCTATTGATTCATATCTCAAGGATTTAACGCCATTAAGGAGCGTATTGGCTCTGGCCATAACCGCTATCTGTGGTGCCATTTGGCGGCAAAACCACTCGGTTCAGAGGGCCCCGGGTCATAACCGTTTACCTGCAGTGCCATTTAGCGGCGAAACTGCCGGTTAGAGGACACGTACCACGTCCTTACTGGCAAAAGATTGTTTGAGAATGGATCCTAGTGATATTTTCGACTAGGCATTCGGCTCTTTGTGAGCTAGAGTTTATTTGAATTTGTCCGCCTCGACAAACTGTTGCGGAGGGCGGATGGATTTTGCTTTAACTGCGTTGATGGATTTATTTCATTTTTAAATATTTTTGGAATTTTGAATTTTTTGAGATTTTCTGGGATTTTGGGTGGAGCTTGGAAGATACTTGAAAGCATTTGAATTAACCCTCCAGTTGAGATCTGCATTCAACACAGCCATCATCGGGGTGTT